GGATAATTGTACTGCTGATTTTTTCTGGTCTACTGAAGGGAACAATTAATGCTTAAACTTTTCTGTCTTCTTTTAGAATTCCTGACCAATTTTGCGTGCTTCTATGTGGTCATCTGAACAACTAATCTGAAGACCACAATACGCAGTGTAACAATCACTGTTAACTCCCTATCATCTCGTTCAGTGAAATTCTGTACCATTTCTAATATGGTATTTTCAACATATTGTTTATTCTCTTAAAAAAAAAAAAAAAGAAAATTCAGACAAATGCAGCCACACACCACAAAGGCGCGCATTGGTCCATGATGAGCCCCGCTTACAACTCTGGCCCCACAGGACGATTTCCATCACCTCCTGAAGTCCTAGCGCCATGATGTTCTAGCAACGTGCTGTGGCACTGTCAGGGTAAGCAACCCTAATGCACGGCCGGTCATGTGGAGGCAGAGCACAGTCACGTACAGTGTGCAGCTCTTCACAGGAAGTGACTAACGTGGCTCTGCGAGCCTGCTGTACTACACTGTGTCGCTTGAGAGTATAATCTTACTTCCCAAGCAAAGCTTGCTTGGAAGCGTCCTGCTGCATGGCACTTGCAGCCCTCTCCTCTATCTCGCACCCAGCTCTCTCAGCTGTAGCGTATTCTCTTGTGCCTGACCTCATCTTATTTTATTCATAATTTTCAAGGCACAATAGGCCAACTACACCTATGCGCACCATGAAGCCAAGGAGTGCAGTACATTCTACTCCTGAAGCTTGCCTGAATTCCCTGTATGATGCTCACACAAAAACAGAATCGCCTCAGGATGCCTTCCTCAGAATGGACTGCCATCTCTGAGTGGCACACAATGGAAACATAAATAATTGAAGAAATGCTCAGCTCCCACTGTGCCACCATCCTCAAAGAGGGAACAGGGTGTCCTGTGGCCAAGCCAGGAGCAAGGCGGAGCTCCTCTGAAGGCCAAGAAAAATTCTGGAAGAAAGAAGAACTTAAGCTGAAACATGTCAATTATCCTGAACTCCCGACTGCTAGCTGAGTTGCAGGGGCAATTTCATGATCATTTATCTCATGCTAAGCACTGGTCCAGGCACTACCTGGCCCCTGCTATCTGGGAGGAAATTCCATAATTCCATATGAGAGAGAGAGAGAGAGAGAGAGAGAGAGAGAGAGAGAGAGAGAGAGAAACAGACAGACAGACAGGCAGACAGACAGATAGACAGAGGAAGAGACTGAAGAATTGAAGCCAGGTCCCTCTCATTCATTTCTGTCTCCAGATCTTTCATCATAATTATTTTGATCTAGGTCTCCCTAAATTGCTAAGTTGCCCAGGCTAGGCTCAAACTTGTGATCTTCCTGCCTCAGCTCCCCAGAACGCTGGAAGGATAGGTGTGCACCACCATGCCCAGCACTCACAAGGAATTTACAGTACAAAGGAAAGACCACAGATCATTTGACCCTGCAGCCCCAGGGTAGTGATGCATCCCACGCTGCCTGATATATACTATGTGCTCGATGCCCGTTGAATGAATAACACCTAGTCAGAGATATAGTAACATAGCAATTAGCCAGCCACAAAGGGTAAGAAGGCCTTTTCCAGTAGATGCAGCAGCACCAGCCAACTAGGAAAGCAGAAATCAGTCTGGCACCATGTGCAGATCCAAGTATCTGCGCAGGTATTGATAGAGGCCGAGGCCTGCGGCAGGCAAAGCAGGGCTGGGGTGGACCGGAGCTGGTCCAGGAGGGCCTTGTTTTCTCCCCTGTAGGTGTCTGACTTTCAGGCAGCAAGAAACTACAGAACAGTTTCAATGGGATCATCTGGGCTGGAGGCTGAGGGACCAACTCGAGGAGTTACATGAACCACAGGCCTGAGGCTCACAGATAGCAAAAATGAAAGGGGGCGCAGGTTGCACAGCTTGTAGAAATGACAGGGTAGACACAGCCTCAGATGGGAAAACCATAGGATACAGAGAGCAGATTTGGAGTGAGGAAGAAGTAAGTGTCTTAGATAACACGCAGGTTCCCACTCTGCACAGCGGGCCGGCAGTCTGTGGGCTAAAATGAGGAGCCAGGCAAGGAGAGCAGGACGAAGCTGCAGGAGCTGGGGGTGCTCTGGAGTCAGGGGCAGGCGCTCAAGGTCCTCATGCTTTTTACCTAGCGGGCACTTGATGTATCTGAATCTGAACCAAGTCTGAAAATGCCTAGTTGGAAATACTGACTTAAGAGTCACTAGAGTCCTGGGCACAGTTAAAACCTTCAAAATAAGAGCCTCATGCTCTACCGACTGAGCTAGCTGGGCTACCTAACCATCCAGCAGAAAAGTATAAAAACAAGGTATAAAAAGTAAAGCCATATTAATATGATGAGCTGTAAAAGGCTCAAGTCAACAACTTCTGTCATTGCCAGTCATGTGAATAACCCACTACTGTTATGGACTACTGGGCTATATTGGATTACTTTGCTGAATTCATGCACCTACAATATATGAAT